AAAAAAAAACAGAAAAGACAAAAGGGGAAAGAGCGGGACAGACGCCGCAAAGAAGGCGTATCAAATGGATTGCCGTTTTGCCCCGACGACTCGCCCATGCGAGTGTTGAATCGATTGGCGAGCAGTCAGAGCCAGTCGGGCTAGAGCAGAAAGAAAGAAAAAATTACCACCGCACCTCAGAAGTGCCGCAACTCATGACTTTTGAGTGCCGCACCTCAAAAGTGCCGCGACTCATGACTTTTGAGTGCCGCACCTCAAAAGTGCCGCAACTCATGACTTTTGAGTGCCGCACCTCAGAACTTGAGTTGCCTAGGCTGCTCCCAAGCGAACTCGGAGCGACCAAAGTGACCACCTCTGGCAGTGTTGGCGTAGATGGGCTTTTGCAAGTCGAGCGTCTTGATCATGACACCGGGACGCAGGTCAAAGTTGTTCCTCACAATCTCAACGAGCTCTTCATCCGTCTTGGAGCTGGTTCCGTAGCTGTCGACGTAGACCGACAGCGGCTCAGCGACACCAATAGCGTAAGAGAATTGCACCAAAACTCGACGCGCGAGACCAGCGTTGACGATGGCCTTGGCGACGTAGCGTGCAGAGTAGGCAGCGGAACGGTCGACCTTGGAAAAGTCCTTGCCAGAAAAGGCACCACCTCCGTGAGCGCCCCAGCCTCCATAAGTGTCGACGATGATCTTTCTGCCAGTGACACCAGCGTCTGCGGTGTCGACGACGTGCAGCTTGTCAGCGCAGCAGGATGCGGAATTGCGTGCGCCACCACTCACCTCCCTGAGGACCACCAATGACGAAACGGCCAGAAGGTTGAATGTGGTAGACGGTCTGTGCATCGAGCAGCTCAGCGGGAATGACCTTCTTGATGATCTTTTCGAGAATCTCTTTTCGGAGGTCCTCTGTAGAGATCTCCTCTGCATGTTGTGTAGAGATGACGACGGTGTCTACGCGCACAGGCACGACTGCGCCGCCATCCTTCTTGTACTGCACAGTGACCTGAGTCTTGGAGTCTGGTCTGAGCCAGCCGAGGCTTCCATCTCTACGCGCAACGGACATGGCCGTGTTGAGCTTGTGGGAGAGCATCAAGGTCAAGGGCATCAACTCGGGCGTCTCGTCGGTAGCGTATCCGAACATGATTCCCTGATCACCAGCACCGTGCGACTCCAAGTTTCCGTGATCCAGACCTTGGGCAATGTCTGGCGATTGCTGCTCGATGGCGACGAGCACGTTGCAAGTCTTGTAGTCGAAACCCTTGTCGCTGTGGTCGTAACCAATGTCCTTGATCTTGTTGCGAATGACCTTTTGGTAGTCGATCTGGGCCTTGGTAGTGATCTCACCAAAGACCATGATCATACCAGTCTTGGTCGCAGTCTCGCAGGCAACCTTGGACCAAGGATCCTGCTCCAAACAAGCGTCCTGTGATGATCAAGTCGGCGCGGCGCGGCGTCAGAGCGAGCGAGCGCGCGCGCGCTATGCGAGCATTGAAGCGAGGTGGCTGTACCAATACTCACGAGGATGGCATCAGACACTTGATCGCAAATCTTGTCGGGGTGACCCTCACCAACAGCCTCTCTGGTGTAGGGTGCGCTTTTTGTCAGACAGGCAAGACGTCGACGTTGGGCGATGCGCGCTTGTGACACTCACGAGGTGAAGAGGAAGTGGCCGGCAGGCAGGGGAACACGAGCAGCGTTGGTTTGAGCCATTGTGAAGGGTTGTGCGTGAGAGTATGTCGGGGGGGCGGGATGGATCTTGCGTGACGGCGACGAGATGGGAAAACACACTATTGATGAGATAGCGGTGGATGATGGTGAAGGGAGAGGGAGAGGAGGGCAAAAGGTGATCCGAGCGTCGAGCGTCGAGCGTCGAGCGTCGAGCGTCGAGCGCGCGCGAGATCTTCGACGCACGACTTCTTCTTGCGCGAATCGTGACCGGCACAAGA